TGACCTAGTATAATACATTAAAGGAAAATAACAGATGATAATAGATTAGGCACAGTTATTATTTCAGCAAGACGTAACTAAGATAAAGCTAAAAATTTTATTTTCTTTTAAAAATATGAAAGCCTAAGCAGAGAGAGAGAGAGAACTTTCTCTGAAAATATCTAATTTAGGAGGCAAAACTATTATCTAGAAGATCTCAAGAAAAAAGATTAATCACCAAAGCTCAATATTTTAGCACAGAAAGAGCAGTTATTGTCAAGCTTAGAGAATGTAGTTCCAATAAGTAAAGCAAATTAAACAACCCATACATTATCACTGATGAAAATAAGCCTTAAATCCTGGTCATTGAAAAATTAACTGTTAGGTGTCTTTATGTCCTCAGATGGCAGAGTAAACACATGTGAAACCAGCCCCCTACCCCACTATCTGTTACCCCAAACAAAAAACTAAGAAAAAGGACATAAAAGGATCGGGAAATGATGTAATTACATTTATAATTTTTCTCACATTCATAGCCGTGCTCTGAAAGAAAGGGAAAGCTCCACTGATTAGAAAGGGTGAGGCCTCCAGAGAACAAAAAAGCATATGGAAAACCATAGAGATAAATGAAGATAGAGAGAATGCTGAAGCTTTGTAGTGGAGCAGCAAATCAGGCACATGTATGAATATAGACCACAAAGTGCAATCTGCAGGCTTGAGATAGGATAAGATACTGCACCGTACATACAGAGTGAAAGTCTATAGCTGAGAGCAGGATCCAGAACAATTCCACTCGTTTGTGAAAGGAGGAGGTAGACAGAATGATCCTCAAGAAGATAGTTCTCATTATTTAATAATAAAACACATTAAATGGCTTATGTTGGCATTTACATCTTTTGGTTTGTCTTTTAATAGTTAAGCATTGTCAATGGATTGAATACATCAATTCAGGTTGAGGTGAATGAAGAGAAATAGAAATATGGAAAGCATGCAAATGATTATAGTAATTATAGAAGGCAGCCTAATAATCTTACTGCTTTGACAGTTCTAAAGTGTCTACCCCAAGAGATTTATTTATTACAAAGGAAAACATTAACTTCCCAGTGAAGAAGCCTGGCAGATACAACCTTAATCAGTTGTTCAAGATTAATATCACAAGTAATGAGATATATGGACATCATTCATGTACCCCTTATGTAATGCTTCTTTGGTGATATTCTTGCCCAAACTAATATAAACAATCTGATCACAAGCATGCATCAGACAAACTCAAACTGAGAGACATTCAACAAAATAAATGACTGGTATTCTTTGAAAGCATAAACATCATCAAAGAGGAACTGCCACAGATTGAAGGAGGCTAAGGAGCATAAAAACTAAGTGCAAGGTGGTATCTTGGATTAGATCCTAGAACAGTAAAAGGACCTTAGTGAACAAATGGGTGGTGTTCTAATAATGTCTATAGTTGAGTTAATAGTATTACATTAATGTTACTATCCTGGTTTGATATTGTTCCATGGTTTTGCAAAATGTTAATTTTAGAGGAAGCTGTGTGAAACTCTGTACTAGTGTGTTTCAAAATACAAAGTAAGATAAATATAAAAAGATATTTAAAAGAAAATAGCAAAGTAAGAATGTTTTATCTGTATCTATGCCTATATCATTTACTTATATATATATCTGCAAATATATCTATCTTGAAATATCCAATAGCAAGCAGTAAACACTCAAGCAGAAAAATGTTCAAAGAGCATGAATAGGCAATTTGCAAAATAATAAACTTAAAACAGTTAATAATACATGGAAATTATTTCATATGATAATTTTCTAGAAGACTAAGCCAAAAAAACAGGAAAAACTTGAATCTTGGTTATTAGAAAACAAATTACAAAGATAGCAAAAAACAAATATAAGAAATATTTTAGACATTTAAAAGATTTTAAAGTGACAACATGCATTTGAACACAAAGTTAGTAAAACATTTCTCAGAATAGAATTATTTTATTCCTAGAAGCAGCCTTAGGGGCTGCCTAGTCCAGCTGCTTTATCACACCAGTGAGGAATTGTTAGCTTATAACTGTTTAGTGGGAGTCTTTTCAGCCCATCCTGATGGGACTGTTTGTCCCCCCCCCCCCCAGTATGCACAGAAGAGACTTATTTTGTAGCATTAGTCTGCTTTTCTCCACAGATGTCAAAGCAGTTTTGTTTACCCCAATTTCTAAGTTAATTAACTTTAGTTATTCTTCCAAGTTGAAAGCAGGTGCAGAAATATGAGAGGATTCACCCAAGGTCACAACAGAAATGAAAATTTCTAGGATATGAACCTGGGTGTGTCTGACCCTACAGACTATGTTTTCTTTAAGCGTTTTAAATTTCATCTTTTTAAATTTACTTACATAAAAAATACACTCATTCTGGTGTACAGTTCCATGACTTTTGACAAATGCCTAGTCATGTAACCACCACTGCAATTAGGATGCAGGACAATTCTACTATCCCAAATCATTCCCTTATGCTGGCCTTTTGTAGTCAAACTTTTCCCCATCTTGAATCCCAGGGAACTACTAATATGTTCTTTGCCCCTATAGTTTTACCTTTTATAGAATGTTGTATAAATGGAGTCCTATAATATATATCCTTTTGAATCTGGCTTCTTTTACTTAATATTCTGTATTTGAAAAATATTGATCATGTTGCATATATCAAAAGTTTGTTCTTTTATCTATAGATTGGTTTGGGGAGATTGACATCTTAACAATACTTTTCAAATCCAGGAACATGGTATATCTCTCCATTTATTTGTTTTGGGTTTTTTGTGTGTTTGTGTTTAATGAGATAAAAGAGGGAGAAAAAAATAAAACAATAAACTCACCAATGGAATGGTCTTTCTTCACATTTTGATTCCCTCCCCAATCTACATACTATTCTTACTTTGCATAGTCCTTAGGTAGGTTTTTTTTTCTTTTTTTAAAAATTATTTCCAAGATATTTCATTGTAATTAGAAAAATAGCCTGTCGTGGGCTTACTGCATCTTTTTCAACATTCAAAGTCAATTGGTTTTAGTTATGATTATCTAAGTCCTTCTTGCATGGTAATGCCATGGATTGAGAAGCATCCAGAAGTTATTTATTTGTTTTTATTTTTGTTTGTTTTTGTTTTTTCAGTTTGAATAAACCATTTGTGAGACAACTTCCCAAATGTGGGGTTGTTAAATGTAAAGGATTTACTTTTTTATGTGAATGGTCAGTGGATTTATCTTGGGTGGATGGAGACTTGGGAGAGAGGATGGAACACAGAACCACTCTTTCTTCTTAAGTCCAATAACATTTATTTAGATTCAGGAGTTTCTTCTACTCTTGACAGTGTCATTTGATGTGTCATTTAAAAATAAATGAAATGAAAATTGATGTGACAGCAGACTTACTAGGGTCTGTCTGGGTACATTTCTTAGCAGGCTCTGCCTTGCTGACAAATAACAGGAATTAACATACGGTTCTGGTTATCACAGTGATACCATTTATTTAGCCCCAAAGAGAATACAGTTTCTGTGTCCAAACACATCTCAGCTGACTGATAAATTCCAGCGCCTTCCAAGCAGTATGTATCTCCCCGAAATCTTAACAGGGTTTATGATCAAAGAAGCATAAATAACTTTATCTTCTAATAGAGATAATAATCAAATTTTTAAATTTATTTTATCATATTATGTAATCACCATACGTTACATCATTAGTTTTTGATGTAGTGTTCCATGATTCCTTGTTTGTGTATACTTTTCCTATTAAAACTGTTCAATGTTTTTAGCAGGTAATATTTTACAAGTTATATTTTAGAATTACATAACCAAGTTAGGATGTATAAATCTCAATAAGGTTTGGAAAAACTTAGGGACTTCACAGAGATTGAGTTGTGTATCTTATACAAAAGTATGCAGATACGTACAGAAATCCAGTAGATGGACCTTATTGGATATTCATTCATTCATTCATTCATTCACTATTTGTGCCTAGGACTGTGCTAGCTCTCAGGTTGCAGAGATGATTAATACATGATTCTGGTTTTTTCAAAAGCTCTCAAGTAGAGCATTGTGAACTGATTTTAAAATAGAATGGTAATTATCTTTTGAAATGAATATTTGGTCTTTCATTAAGTCATTCAAATGAGGGTGAAGGAGCAATTACATTGTACCCATAGGCCTCTAATGGATAAAACATGTCGCAATATATATGTAAATGGTTTATTCATAATATATAGCTTTTTGTAATTTACAAATTGCATTTGAGTTGTACGTTTGTCATAACAATCTTCTGCTTAGATCAGGTATGTATTAGAAGTCCCATTTATAGTTAATGGAACTTAAGCAAAAGAAGTTGTATAAATTTACATGCTATAAACAATTGAGAAATGCCAGATCTGGGACCCCAAGGCCAGTGCTCTCTTTGTAACAACTCATTGTTTCTCAAAAGCTAAGAGCCTCCTGATGATTCAGAATCCTGGGATTAAAATTCTCATGAAATACTGACTGAGCTAATATTGTTTAGGTAAGAAGCTACATAAGTCTCAGTGTAAATGTCACCTCTCCTGGGAAATCCACCTTGATTAGACTGGTTAGGATTCTCCTTGACAAACTCTGACAATTACTACTATAACAAATTAACCGCTTTTTTACAATTGTATTTGTATCCTACCTAAAACAATTATAAGTACCCCACTTTGGGAAAGACTAGTTAGTTCACTAATTATTCCTTACTGTCTTTCTTCCTGGATAATATGTAGTAAATTTCACTAGGATATGCTCTCCTCATTTCCATATTTACAGTGCCTGCCATGGTGCCTGACAGACACATAGTGGGTGTTCAGTAAGAAAGGGTTTAATAAATTAATATTTGCCTATATGTGAATAGTATACATTTCTAGTGTGTGGTTGTATATATTTTCTTTTCTTATGAATACTAAAGTGTTTGCCTATCTCCCAAGTCTATTTGGGTACAAAATAACCATATTCTTTTCATATTTACAGGATTATACCTTGACAATGTACTTCCAGCAAGCCTGGAGAGATAAGAGACTGTCCTATAATGTAATACCTTTAAACTTGACTCTGGACAATAGAGTGGCAGATCAGCTCTGGGTGCCTGATACCTACTTCCTGAATGATAAGAAGTCATTTGTACACGGAGTGACCGTCAAGAACCGCATGATCCGCCTGCATCCAGATGGGACGGTTCTTTATGGCCTCAGGTTTGTAGTGTCCATTTCAAAATTGAACTTTTCCTGAATGAAATAGTTATTGATTTTTATTGGAGGGAAATTCTGTGCTGTTTTCCTTATTCCTCCTTCAATTCTGTCATAAGCAGTTAAATCTCCTATCCAGTAGACATCTGAAAGCTTAGGGGAACATGTTTACAAAGGGACTTAGCCCTAGCTAAGAATAAGTTTTTCTGAATTATCTTCTAATATCAGCTGCTGATCCTAAAGCTACTTTGTTTAAGGAGTAAGGATAAACAATCAAAATAGCTGAGATATAAGGCTTCCTTAAAATGGAAAAAAAAAATTGAATGCTGAAGACTTGTTTGAGCATGGCAGATGCTCTGTTTCATAAATTGCTCCTAAGCTGCGTGAATTGGGTCTGGTCCTTTGATGACAGGAAAGCTTTTGTGCCTTCTTACCCTCCAAGGAGCAATCAGACTTGCAAATAAATAAATTTGTTATCCCATGTTTATTAATAATAAATTTACACTATTCAATGTACTGTTGTGTCGGAAAGTAATTGTGATGCTCTGCTGTTAAGGTGAGGATGAATTGTAAAATAAGACAGTTTCTTCTTTTAAAGATTATTTTGTATTTGAAGCAATAGATGGTTTCCTAAAAGAAAATGGAGAAAAAAGATATCTATCTTACTCTGAAAAATTACATTATTAAGTATAAAGGATTCCTCTGTGTTATTGCAAAGAAACTCTAAATTCTAAAACATTCAGATATCTCTGATCAGTTCTGTTTTACACACATGTGTGGTTATCTTATAATAATGATGGTAGTAACAATAGTATTATTCATTCATTAGGGGATAAGGGTCAGATATTGACTTAAATTTTTTCCATGCATTGTTACAGTTAATCCTTACAACAGCTTCCTAAGTTAAACTGTTATGATCTTTATTTTCAAATGAGGAAACTGAGGTTGACATTTAAAATCACAAAGCAAGTAAGCTACAAAGATGAGAATTGAACTCAGATCCAAGTTCAGAGCCACTGGGATGCTTCTCACTTCCACATTTTTCTTATCTGTCATGTCTTGTTTTCATTGTCTGATATATTCAGTGTGTGTGACTGGCACATTGTCTTAGGTGCTTATGAACCAGCTTCTTTGCTGATCATATTTTTAGAGAGAGTGGCATTTGGCTCTCAAGGGAAAGTGGGCGAGAGTGGGCGCGGAGAAAGCATGTGTGTACTCTGTCAGCCACTGGAGGTAAGGAGATAGATTGGATATGGGCAGGCTTACATGCATGTCTTAGAAAATAGACAAACAGCAGAGAGAGAAATTGTCAGTGTCGGCAAAGATTCCACCAAAGTGGTAGACTTTGAGAGCACTGATGGAAAGAATTGTGTTAGCGGATACATTGTGCTAAAGTTACCACTTGGAATGAACTATAAAACATTTAGAATCTCAAAGACCTTGATAAGAGGGTGACCATGCAGGCTGTGTGGGAGATGGGGGTTCAAAAGAGGCTGTAGTTCACACTTTTTAAGAGTTAAGCACAGAGAGTGGTCAGAATCCTGAAGAAGGCAGAAGGAGGTGTAGAAATAACACCCACTCGGCAGTGAATGAGGGGGAGGACTGGCAAGTGGTAAGTTTTGGCTAAACACTAGAACCAGTGCTGGAGGCATTTGCTCAGCAAATCATTTAATCTGCACAGCAGTCATGCAGAAATTACCCTGAGCTCTTCCCATTTCCGTGGAACACCCACCTTGAAAGCAGAGAACAAGTTGTATTCTCCTTGGTATACCCAGCACTGACAAAGCACCTACACCATAAATATGTTCAGTAAAGTTTGTCAATTCTAAATTCATATATGCAAAGTTGAATGGATGGGAAAGTCAACAATCAGGATGTCTTTGGAATTGAGAAGAAAAGAGAAGACCAATATAGATGATAAATATGGCTTCGTTATATAATTACATAATCAGACAAAAACATTGATGACTGTTCATTCTTATCATTAAGACTGACTATATGACACTGCTGTAACTCAGATTTACAATAGGAAATCATCGCTCTCCTATACCCTCTTCCAACAAAGGATTTGAACACATCTGACATGTACGAAATTAACACTACTAGACAGAGAAGGTGCATGAATTGTAATCATTCTATCAGGTGTATTGTTAATTCTGACTTTGAAACTGATAACAAGGTTTTTCAGGAAATTTACAAGTATCCTATTCCAGTTTTTACTGATTGATCATAGAATGTTTGTTCCATGGCTAGAAATTTAATGCAGACCACATATTCTCTTCTCAACTCCAGGTTCATTTGCAGTGTATAAGTAAAAGGAATTCAATTAAAATTACCATTGCTAAGGTTGATTTCATAAAGTCTCTTTTCCTACTTACCCTTAAACTCCTCTCCCATTGAGATCCACACACATTGGCAGGAAGAGAACATTCAGAGGATCTGGGAAAGCTTCTTTTGTAGGGCTTACTTTAGTGAAATGTTCAGGTATTAAAACATAAGAAGGAGAAAGTAGTATGCAAAATATTAATGCTTGTTTAATTTTTCTTTTTGTTTTAGAAAAGGAGAAGGAGGGGATGGGCAGAGGGAGAGGGAGAAAGAGAACCTTAAGCAGGCTCTACGCCCAGTGCAGAGCCCAGCACAGGGCTCGATCTCACAAGAGATCATGGCCTGAGCCAAAATCAAGAATCAGTCCCTTAACCTACTGAACCACGTAGGCGCCCCAATGCTTGTTTAATTTTGTCATTGTCATACAGGTGTTCATTTTGCTGTTCTTTCAATTTGTCTGTAGGTTTGAAAATTTTTATGATAAAATTTGGAAAAGGAAAAATGTTATGTTTCAGAGACCTAGGAATACCTGATTCTAATATCCAGGAAATATCATTCAAGATTTAAGAGTCTGTAGCCGAGAAATGATATTTCTAATCTCTTGGAGGTAGATAATCTTCTATACATGACATCTACTTTCAGGAGCTGTGTCTGAAAATGAGGTCACCTCATTTCAAAGGATGTGTGGCTCAGAGGGTGGGATCCATGACCATAGACAATGAGGCTAAGTCATAACCCAGGAAGGAGTGGTCAAAGCCCTTCAGTTAAAACCTTGATAACCTCCTTATGAAATTAGTTGTCCTCCTGCATGAGTGGAGTATCCTCCTCCCTTTGTGTCTGAGTGTACACAGCAGGAGCTCTGAGTACATTCATGCTGATATATTGTGTTTGGATAGCAAAAGTTTTGAGGATAGCAATATAGCAGCCACTCAGCAAACTTGCATTAAGGTATAGTGGCTTTGAGGAGCTCAGGAAATGGAGACTGAGATTTAGAAATATGGATTATTTTAGGTGCTACTGTTATAGGCTAGGTTTTAATGGTTTTCATTCTGATTGGATTTTTGTTTCCCCATCACAAAAGCGCAGATTAGCTGCTTACTCTCCATTATCCCAGTGCTCTTCTGGTTGATAATTGTATTAGAGGTTCAGAGAACAAAGTTTTAATGTTGCTCAGATACATATATGGACACAGGTAGGCAATGCAACCAACTTCCTTAACAAAGCATAATGATAATGAAACTTAGGTTTTAGTTTGGACTTTTATAACAAACTTCTTTTTGAATCTTGAGTATCTTATCCAGGTTTTAATTTCCTTGTACATAAATCAGAGGGGTAAATTAGATGATACAAATGTTTTTACAACCCAGTCATCCTCTGAATCAATAATTAACTAATCTAAAAGAATATATAATCTAACATCAGACTAGAAAATGAAATTATATATTTGGAGTAGTAGATAATAGGTGTTCAGTGTTACTATTTAATGAATGAATGAATGTGGGGATATTTGAAGGCTGGCAAAGGGAAAGCTTCACATATCAAGTCAGCCATTTTATATTGTAGAATTTCACTTCGGTTGTCTTTTCACAATTCAGCGAAATAAGATACTAGATCTGTTGTGTAGAACCAGAAGAGTGAGCAAGTGGATTGAAAAGAATGGGAAATGTCTAGCCCAGGCATATCTAGAATGAAAAAGGGAACCACTAAAGAAAATGTGTACTGGAGTCAGTTAACCCTAGCCACTGCATTTGGCAGCACACAATCTGAAGCAAGGAAAATGGATGCCTGGCTTGAGACCCAAGTGGCATGACCACCTGTAAAAGCTTCCCTGGAGCCCCAACCCAGGGCCTTGCTTGTAGCGTGCACACGGTAATTATTTAATCCAGTATTGTGCAGTTTCTTAAAAAGACTTTCCTTTTCCTCATCATGTTTCATTGTGTGTCTAGTTTCTCAACTTATTTATAAGATCTATGGGATACACGGATACCTGGGTGGCTCAGTCAGTTAAGTGTCTGCCTTCGGCTCAGGGCATGATACCAGGGTCCTGGGATCGAGTCCCACATTGGGCTTCTTGCTCAAGAAGCAGGGGCGCCTGCTTCTACTCCTTCCTGCCGCTCCCCCCTGCTTGTACTCTCACTTGCTCTCTCTCTCTGGCAAATAAATAAATAAATAAATAAATAAATAAATAAATAAATAAAATCTTAAAAAAAAAGATCTATGGGATATAGGAATAATTAACCAAAGTTATGAATAATGCCTTTTGAAACTTAAATTTATGGTTTGTGGCTAAAGAATAATGAAATCTTTGAATATAGATTCTCACCTTCACTCTTGACTAGTTGATAGCTCAGTTACACCAATTTGATCGTAAAATCAAATACCTCTTGTCTTTAACAATGCTATTTAGAGATTTCTGTCAGGAGATATAGCTGGAGGAGGCAGAATATTTTCTCAGGAGTAACCCAGCTGGATAAATGGTGACAAACGACTTTCCAGTTGATGAGGCAGAAGAATTCCTAGCAATTTACAAAGGAAATATTTCAAACAGATTAACTACATATTGTTCACAAATAAAATTGGTCCAATCAAATGATTTTCAGAACACTTCAAGGAAAAATGATATAGAAAATGTAGGATTTTTGTTAATGAATCCAACTAAAGCCCTAGCAGGTAAAAATCAG